ACCATAGAATGGATTTTTTCCATCCGGGCAATTTTTAAATATTGCAACTGGTTTATCTTTGTCCTGAAATGAAATTTTTAACATAATACAATAATCATTGTTCTCTAATAATTCTTACCATATCGTATGATGATTCAAAAGCTGTATTTGATGAGAAATGACTAAGTAATTCTCCTAATAAATCGTCATCTACTGTCACTATAACAAAGAAATTAATCACACGAGAAAATTATTCGATAGAATATCGCGTACAATTTTGAAATGCGTCAATTGATGTCGTATTGTAATCACGTAAACGACTATATTGTTCGAATAAACTTTCGTTTAATGATTCAGCTATTTGATCTGGTATTCTAAATAAGAACATGAAACTACATGATTGCCACGACAAAAACAAAAATGACTTTACTGATCTGTTGCTTTCCATTCGTAAACTTTTCCTAACAATTGTCGATAATATTGGGCACAAACATCTTTATTACTTTCTTCCTTCTCGATACAATTTGTTACATAAAGCCATCGCTGAATATCAGATTCATCCATCGGAAATGAAAAGGAAAATCGATCATTTAATCACGATAAGATGTTTATTCACTGTAGAGAACTATATCGAGTCGTTTCTCAATTCTTAGCTGTTTTAGTTTGTGAGAACCTTCCATAGATAATACGCTTTCTTTTCTCATCAAAAAAAGAGCAATTCTAGATAAACTTTTCGTAACTAAGATCTTAAGTGTTTAGACTTTATTTTTTAAAAGGACTTGAATCACGTACAATCTTGATTTTTTTAACACTTTTTTCAAGGGCATTCGGATATCTAAATCTCCATTGATAAAAGTTTTGCTAGAGACGATTTATGATTATAGTAGAGTTTATTTTCCTTTTTGGATTTACCGGAACTGTCTCTGTTGCTGTCGATGAGATATACAACTATTTATATCTACAATCAATCATATTGTATAAATTTTTAATGACAAGATCGGCAAACGGTAATGCTTGTTGTTATAATTGATTATTTTTCAATCAGATTCATACTATTCTGTTCTCGCGTTGATATCTTCTAGTCTACTATTATTCACCGGTAAAACTTCGTTGATATTCAGATTTCATCGTTAACAAATATGATATAGACAGAACCTGGTGAGTGAAGGATTTTTCTATTTAGCATGGTTGAAAATAGTTCATGTTTAGCTTAATTCAAATAGTTCCTTTCATAAGTGTACCATTCTTTCAAGTTAAACATTATTTTCGATTGAAAAATTGCTTGATATTCAACATGAGTTTCGTTCTCTTCAACCCAACTCTCTTTCGTTCTTCTTCTTTTTCAACTCTAATATCTCATTTGATTTGAAACATAACGGTTTCGGTTGTTTGTGAACAAACTCAGCTGTATTGCCATCTGGCAAAATTTCTATAAAGCTCACATATTCGAACAAAATGAATGACATCTTCGTCAATGCTCGTGTGATATGAAAAATAATATCTTAGATATGAGATGATAGTAAATCTATTAGTTCTCGATTTTTAGTTAACATTCATAACAATTTCACAATAAATCACAAGACAGAAGACTAAAAAACAATTTTACAACAGCACCTGTCTTTCTTCGATGGTAACGAACGTACTTTTTCGTATCAAACTGTCATTTAAGCAACAAATATCTTTTTTTTATTTTGGAAACGAACAAAAATTCTTGATTTTTTGTTTAAAACAAAGCAAAACAAAGAAAGAAATAAAAACAAAACATTTTACAGAACAATTATTTTTTTGTTCCGTTAATTTTGTTCAAAAAAAGAAGAAAGACATGAACAAAAAGAAAAAGTTTAATAACGACAAAGAATTGTTTAATGTTTGCTATTGTTATTTATTAACTAGGTATGAATATCCATCATATCAGCTGATGTTAACAAATCCGCTTCGCCTGGTTTTTGAACTTGAATTTTATCCGGATACATATTGTCCAATACTTGTATACCATCTTTATTAATAACACGTACAAATACACAATGTGGATATGCAGCCATACGTTTACCTAAACGACATGCTCACATATAGAATAAAGACTCATTGAAATATCCAAGCAACGAGCAAATAGGAAGACCGATCACTCAATCTATGTAAGTCACAGTTCAAATTTCTTGTACTAAACCTAGTGTCAAACATTTTCATCAAGCTTTGTCCTATTCCCTATTAGCCTAAGCACTTGTCTTTTTTTCTGTCATACGAACATACCCAACTCATTGACAATTATTTGTAACATATGTAAACCTTCTTCTAATGTCATATTTTCTTTCCATAGTTTATCACCAACTCCTAATGCAAAAAATTGACAAAATCCATGTGCAACAACATTGGCTGATATCATGGCACCCAAATAATCGATCGCAAATAATTGTGCTTTTTGTTGATCACTATCGTTTGTGCTAAAACCACCAATTATTAAATTGGCTAAATATGAATTTCGTGAACGTAATGAATATGCCATTTCATGTCGAGTAAAATTTGCACATGCATACGGAGATAATTCAATGCCATTAATCATTTTATACAACTGAATATTTTTGCCGACATATTCAGCAAATTGAACAACGTCACCAGGTTCACCGGCTACAAAAAAAAAGAAAAATCATAAACAATATTCTATAGTTGAAAAGCTATTTTTTTAATTACAAGCTAACATAGCACAATGTTCGGATAATTTAAATAAACGATTTGTATCAAATTTCATATTTAAAATGCCATATTTTGTCGTGTTTGCATCTTGAGCTAATAATATGAAATCTTTACCACGTATGCCAATGATTGATTCAACCATGATCAGATAAAAATATTTAGATTATTTTTAGATCGATACGTGAAAATATACAAAAGTCTATAACAATGAAAAATACAGAAGAGAAAACTTATGTTTGAGCAAAGTCTTGAACAAAACAATATTAGTTGATGTAGATAATTTGTTAAAAATCTTTGAGAGATTCATATTACTCTAGTAGTCGAAGACCAAATGATACATTAACAAAAATATTATTTTTGTCGGTTAACTTCTTGAAAAACAGTACTATGAACTTCGTTATACGAAGATTACAAAAGCGCAAAAGAACATTTTACTGGTTCACACCTAAATGAAACTAATAAATCCAAAACAGTATCATCAGAATTTAATGAAACAGTATGCAAATTTATCGCTTGGCTGTTAGATCTTAGAAACCTAGATTCAATACGAAAAATAAGAAACATTTCATTTAATCGAGCAATTATGCAGAAAAAGTCAACAATCGTTGACTTTTAGAACAATGACATAATCGAAGTACATTCTATACTCTAAGCTAATACTTTTTCATTTCTATAGCTGGTCGAATTTAGTTCATAATATTTTGAGTGCTGCAAGCGCAAAGAAAGAAAGTTGACGACTTCGGATGTGCGATCGAACTATGCAGCCGTTTGGCATAGACTGTTAGAGAGATGAGCGAATGGAAAACTGGAAGAAAAAGAATACTAAACTTTATGAATTTGGAAACTAAAATATGAAAAACTTCATATTTTATATATAAACATTAAACACATAACCTGCAAAAATAACGTATAACAATGACGTACTAAATTGCTAATTGATACTATGTTAAACTTCAAATGAGATTATGTATTTCTAAACAACTTTTTCTCGCTCAAATGGAACGATAATAGAGTTGCTTGTGAGAGTACTGAAAGAGTTATGCTTTTATGGTAAATTCAAATCTACGAACAGAAAAATGATTTCTCTCTCTTTAAGGCTTTCGAAATCAAGTCAACAAAAAGTCTATTCACATGGGTCTGTTGAAGTCACTTCGGCTGACCGAAAAGCTATTAAATCTGTACAAGAGAAATTTGGTGACGTAAATCAACAGATATAAAGTGAGAAATTTTTTTTATTACACCTCATACAATCTCCATTTAGACAAAGATAATTATGTTCCTAGATATTTAATTCAGCCAAAACTAGAAAATTACAAAAGGTTTTTAACATGAAAAATATGGCTTGGGAGAGGGCTCGCATTCAAAAGAAACAATGGATACTAACATACACATACACAAAAAATCACCAGAATTTCCAACTACTTTTTTTCTGTCCATCCTGTGTTGATGAGTTTTGATAAGAATTGTTACTATCATATGAAAACGAAGATGTTGAATCACTTGGACTACTAAATTCTGATTTTACACCGAATGTGGGTTGTCCCATGGAAAAATCTCGAGATGAAAATTCATCACTAGAAATTTTACCCATTCTTGCTTGAGCTGCAGCGCCTTCTTGACCCAATTTATTTATAATATAATTTGATGAATCAATAAAACGTTCAACACAATTTTGTAAACATGTTTCTGTTTTACCATCAAGCCGAGAGGAAACAGATGGTGTACATAATTCCCAACATTGTTCGGTTAAGGTATGTACAACAGTTTGAAACCGTTGTTTTTGATTTTCTTGTTCGATAAATGAAGCTAACTGAGGATCACCACTAATACTGGCATCGGCCATTATCAGGAAAAATATATGTATCTAAAAAAATACGTTAATTTAACAACGTATATCAGAATAAGTTTGACCAGTGTTACAATGGTGAGCATTATGCACTTCAGTTTACGCATATACTGTCTTTGTAATATTATCTAATGCAGAGGTTAAGTTTTCAGACCACATAGCTAACTAAAAGATGTAAACTACGTATGCTTATGTAAACTTATATGTAACTTTTTCATTATGTAAATTGAATATTGATACACATTGAATTTACTATTTATAAGCAGAACTGTTAGCTTTACGAATTCAGTTCTATTTAATAATCACGATGATGTTGCTCACTTGTTTGCTTTATCAGACATCTATAAAAAGGTCATTATTAAATCAGTTGAAAATACACAAACATCAAAATAATTTGAAAAAACTGTGTCATATTCGATAAGATGACAGTTAAATCATCTACAGAAAGTTTTCGATAATCATTATGTTTATTGATTATCATTTCTTATGATAACAAGAAACTGACGTTATCTGCCCTCGTCGTCAATAAATGAACGTTTTACGAACAACTGTAGTTTTGAGAGTATCTGACCATTATCAACATGAATATGGATTGTCAATGTATCACCAGTTTTAAATAAATATCGTTACCATTCGTTCCTGTAACCAACAAAAAATATCTGTGAGTAAATATTCCAAATCATTAACAAAATCTTTCTTGAACATAACCATTCTACACGAGTTAAACAACTCTTAATAAATCGTGAACTTACAATCCCTAATTTTGTATAAATTCTAATAAATTTTCATGATAGAATTCTAAATATATTAATTCTGATGAAAAACAAACAGATTCGCTGTTCAATTCTTTATTCTTGATTATTTCTACAGAAATAAAGATATTAAAATTTCTTTATTGTTTCTTTTTGTATTTCTAATAATTCACTACGAGATGGATGCTTGAATTGTTCTGATGTGCTTATTCACCTAATGAATGTTTACCAATACTATCTGATTGCATAATTTTTCTTTCTTTTAAAAGAAAATAGCACGAGCATATTCTGAAATAGACGAAATATATTAAATAGCCGTTGTTCATGCATTATGGCAGAAGATATCAAAAACTTTCTTCTGTACTGCCAGGATTAATAACAAATAATCAGTTAATTGCTTGTATGAAACGATGATCACCTAGTTTTCTGTTAATCACATATTTTTGTACAGGTTCACTGCAATCTACGTCTACCATTCCACATATAGAGAAAGCTGATGTAAAAAAAGGAGGGGTACGAATTAACAAGTGCTTGGTGCTTCTGATAACAGACGAAATAGGCGAACGTATATTTTCTATAGTAGAAAAGTGGTTGATTATTAAGAGAATTTGTGTATCACCTTGCTACTATTAAAATTTATGAAATTCTCTTTCTCTGTCGCAGTTCAATAGTTATTTTGTTTTAGTCAAAGGCAAACGATTTTGATGATATTTAACATCGACGCTTTCAAGCACTCACCAATGACATAACAAAAACATAGGTTCACGTAACCCTCTATACCTTGTTAGACATTTCAAGAATAGAATAGGGTCTTTGTTAATATACGAAGTCGGATAAATTATATAAGAAATATACCTTGTTAGAAAATAAAAAGTTCATCTTTCGCTAACAGATTAGATCCAACTCATCGAAGCAATCTTATATCTTCTTTAGCGTAGGGAGAACAAAAAAAAACTTGTGTGGTTTCTTAATATTGAATTATACGCATATATTTATTTTTAACCTGTACAGAAAAACCAACAAGTGAAATAAAACAAAAGCGAAACAGTCATCATCAGAATGATTTAAAATACAAAGTACACGAGAAGTGAACAAAATATAGTATCTTGAGAATAATTTTAAATGTTATGTACAGTGATTGGCGATATACCCAGGAGAAAACTAAGCAATATCAGCCACTTTTCATTCAGAAAGAGTATAATGTATTTGTGTCAAATAGATAAAGAAAAAAAGTAAAAGAAAAAAAAAAAGAATAACAATAAAAGAAAAACACTGTTGACTGAACGAGAAGAAGAAAGAGCTATTTGTCGAAAAATTGAATTAAATTGTTGATTCTGTTGGGATTTCCTTGTTTAAATGCACGAATTGAATCCTAGAAGAAGAAAAAAATAGATAAAACCGATTAATAACCAAGAAGAGCGATTATACGTCATTTATGTTTAATAGATAGAAACGAAAAAAGAGTTTAAATCATGCCTACTCTTTCATGCATCGACATTGCCGGTGTTGGTTCGCCGACGTACATTGATTTTCTATTTGAACGATAATCAGTTTGAGCATTTGTTGTTGTTGATAATGTTGAAGATGGTTTATTATTTTCATCCTTGGAATCCGTTCTATACGTTGATAAACGACGAGTGTATGATGATGATCGAGGAGAAAAAGAGGTAGGCGTTGTCGATTTAGTATTATTTCTTGGCAGAGGAGGTGAAAGATTAGCGAGAGGTACGACATTGTCAGGAGTTATCACATTCGAAGTAAACTCTGGTACATTTACATCGATTTTGGCAATCTTCTTATGGTCATTATCGATGGGTATTGATTGCTGGTGAAAAGGTGCATCAAAACTATTATCCTGTTTTTCTTTAGTTGAATTACTAAAAATAAAGGAAAATTAGCCAAACTGTTTATTAGAGCGAATTAAAATCTTACTATTTGTTTTGTTTTTGTTTGGCAATATCGATCCACGATGGACCATTCGTTGTTATTACATCGTTACTTTTTGTTGCTGTTGAAGCGGTTAATATATCTGATTTTGCTTGTACTCCACTAACTGTTTTTCGTCGGTTATTTATTCGTTGTTCAATAGAATTTGTTTTTTCTACACTTAATTTTGCTGATAACGGTGGTTCTAATAATGCTTCTTCGTCTTTCGGTACTTGTTGTTCAGGTGATGGTGTTTGACGTCGATCATATTTAGCCTCCAACTCGTTTAAAATCATTTGTGCTGTTTTTTCCTCATGGCCATTTTCTTTGGTTATTTCTTCTTGTTTTGGTGTCACTCTTCTAATTGAACGTTGTTTTTGTAATTTACTCCAAACATTTTCAAATTCATTCTGTTGTTTATCCGATGATACGTGAATTGTTGTTGGACGTTTTTGCCGAATGCTGCCAAGATCATGATCACGGATTTGCACAGAAGATAGTGACGTCAAATTATCATTGTTGACTAACGGCGGTTGAACAATATACTCTTGTAGTGGTTTATTTGAATCTTTTGAACTACGACGAAATACATCTAAATTATCATATATATGTTCAATGGACGGTGATCGATGAACTTTGGGTGTTGGTGGTAGTGCAGCTGAAGAAAATGTCGTTGTCACAATTGTCGCCTTTGTCAGTGGTTGTTCACTCTGCTGCAGTTGTTGCTCATTACGATGACGAATGTTATCACGATACGGACGAGAAGAATCTACACAAACAAAAACCTCAGATAATGATTTAATAATCTGATAGCGAAGACGTACTTTTATATTCATTAATTTGAGTGTTATTCATTAATTCTTTATCCAAATCCAGTTCAACATAATCTTGTTTTGACTTAATCACTGGTTGTGGTACTGACATAAAAGTTTTTAGACTATCATCATTTGTATTCGTTAAATCTGCGGGACTAGATTTTTTAAAATTATTATTCGTATTTTCATCTTCAGTTTTATACAGATCAGACCGACTTTCACGAGAAGGTATAAATTTCGCTGTTGAAAATTGTTCATGTGTTGCTGGTGATTGATGATAGAGTGATTGTGCTGTTAACTGTTGGAGAAGAGATGGTGGATTCGATGTAGAGGATTGAACAGTGTCTATAGTTGGACGTTTAAAACTAACAGAACGTTGGATAGCTGGTGACGGTTGAGGATTTACTAGAGATGTGAAGGGTGTTGCTGATGATGAAGATAATAATAAGACGTTGTCAGCTGAACGATCACGACGAGTGGATAAACGAAGTTTTGCTCGAGCTTTATCAATATCAGTCAAATTAACGAGTGGTATTAAAGGAGTTTTCAAGGTGGATGATGAAATATCCTACAAAAATAAATAAATAAATGAAACTTAGCTTATTTTTAACTAACATTTCAACTTACTTCATTTCTTTGTTTGTCAATAATGGATGATTTTCCCAGAATTTCAGGATAGCTCTGTTGCTTTGATAAACTTTCACGTGAAGATAATAATAATGGATGTTGTCGTTGTTTCTCATCATTAATATTCAACTCTTCTGGTGTAGATGAAAGAACTAAAATAAAGAATAAAAAGAAAAGATGATCTATCTATCGAACAACAAATATTGAAAAAACATAGTCCACTAAAAACACACAACCTTCACATTCTTATCTACCATCAAGAATGTTTTATTTAACGTGTAATTAATAATAAATAACAAAAATGATTTTTGAAAGATAAAGTATTATAAACTTTGAATAGTAGCGGAAGCATCTGAAGAAAATAAAGTACAGAAGCCAATTTTAAGCGAAATCTATCTCCGATGTTTCCAGATTACTCTTAAGTCCGAGTTTGCAGAGAAAATGTTTCTGCACATTTCTCAGTATAGCCGAGCTTGAGGAATCTCACTGAAAATTTTTTATTGTGATTTTTGTGACAGCATGTCAAATACATTAGGCAATAATAGGCAATGAAAAACTGTACAGAACGGTATATGACTCGTCTTTAGTAATCAGTCGAGCATAGGGAAAAAATCAGTAATCAGTTGGCTATACTGAGAAATGTACAGAAACATTTTCTCTACAAAGTTGGACTTAAAAGTAACCTGACATCGGAGACAGATTTTGCTTAAAATTGGCCCCTGTCCTTTATATGTTGTAAATTGGGTCGCTATTGATCAATATTAACTCACTGAAACATTTATTTATGATGTGATTCTGAAGCCTGAATTTAAAGGTAATAAATCATACGATATTTTTAAATTTATGTGTTGTTTTGAATATATCGGTAAACAGTTCATCATTACCATCATCATTATTGTTCTGATCTTTAATAGACAAATTTACACATATTCACAACAAACAGCAGCATACTTTGAATTTTTTATTTTTTTTAAAAGTAGTAACAGCAGCGTGTGAATGTTGTACATTCCACTAATTGTCAAGAGCGCGTGCATCACATCAATACCTGTTGTAGATTTTTCCGAATGAATCAATTTTGAACGATTAGGTAATGTTTGTGATTTTGTATTTGGTTTTGTCGTTGTTAAATATGTATTATAACGTGAAATATCTAACGGTTTAGATGCTACTAAAACACACTCTATCACACGTTCACTCATACCATGCTCTTAGTTTTTACTTTTATCTATCGAAAAGCAGTTTAATTTGTGTTATATATATACATACCAACTGATCGAAATAAATCCTGTTCGTTTTCATCCCGTTCACCGAGTGTACTCAACTAAAAAGACAGATAGCACAAATAATAAGAATATTTAGAATATCTTGTCAATCTAATGACTATTCTCCGACATTTACTAACTCGTTGTTTAGTCGATTTTCTTCTTGTATTTTTTACTGATATTCTATCACGTGCTGCTGAATTTTCTAATCGTTCACATGTTTGTGTTACAGTATTAAATGGAGCTTAACAGAGTAAAAATCAATCTAAAAATGATTACCATTCTATGAACAATTTTGTACTCACATTCATCTGATTCTCGATGCATTCGCATACTACTAATAAATGACTCCTAAATAAGAATGAAAAATAATGACGTTTTTGATTTTCACATGGGAAAAACTTACATGATCCATTTCTTTAACGGATGCGTATGAACTACTACCCGACGATGCCTTAAATTAAAATAAAATATAAAGTTAGCAGATATATACTAAAAACAGTGGTAAAGTCAAGTATTTCGAGCCTTTTTCATCTCTCCAAGTTAATTTTTTATCAGAGAGTCGATGCTTACTGTTAAATACTTTTATGGATTTATCCGTCAAAAATATCTATCAATTTTCAACAGGTGTTTTCATTCTTTTTTCCTATACGTGCATTGATGTATACATGATACAACTGGAATCTACGTCATACTTATCGTTACTCTTTTTTTTTCTTTCCAAATTTTAATTTTAAAATTATCTACATATCTATCACATGTAAGCATAGTTTTTTTTCTCTCTCGTCTTTTTTTTTCGAAAATTAATCGGTACACTTAACTTTAACAATAATGGATCTATATAATATTAACTATTCGAACAACACTAAAAAGCAGTTCTTCTTTTTCGTTTGTTCTGAGTGCACGCACAGTGTGAAAGAAAAGAAACAAAACAAACTTTATGTAATATGAAATTTTTTTTTGGCAATTTATACTCAGTATTAAAGTCAGAAAAATCTTTACCATTGCCGAGTTGATCGTCCATTTGAGAGTCAAATTAAGGAACTTTGTTCTATTCATTAGAATAAAGGCAAAAGTTTATGACAATCGTGCAAAAAGTAGAGATACGATCTAATATTGTGCCCATAACATTTTCTGACATTAATTTTTTGCCATTATCTGTGAGCATTAAAACTCCAATACAACTCATTTGCATTTACTTTGAGGATATGTCAATAACTACAAGAATTACTCATATGATCAATAAATAGGATTCTACATCTTACAAAGGCTATGTGTAAACGCATAAGAAAAACGATGCACAATTCATTAATACATGTTATTACAAAAACCTTTCTTGTCCACGTTCTAGAGAGAAAATTGATTGCTCTGTGAATGAGCACTATTTCTCACTCACTCAAACGAGTTCATATTTCCAACCTTTCCACACAGTATAAAGGAGATGTACGATTCTTTTAATTTCTTTTGATAACAACAAAATGAAGAATATTGTTTTTCTTCATGCTTCTTTTTATTACATATTGTGGAATAAAATGAAAGCATACGCGTTTATTAGTCATCTCGTAGTTTAGTGGTGCATAGTTCGAGAAAAATGAAAAAAAATGTTTAAATTTTTTCGTTCTTTTATCACTTTCATATCAAAAATCGCATAAGCTATAGTAGAGTTCATTCATTCTTGATAATAAACACACCTAAAAGTGTGTCAATATTTCACATGTATGTAAGTGCATGTGGATTCAACACACAAATAATATATATATATATATATATTCTGCCATCATAGTTTAACAAATGTGTCAAATAGCTTGAATGATTCAGTAGATCAAAATTGATTCATCTCTTCTTCTTTTCTTTACCACATTTTTTTAATCTGTATAGAGGAAAACTCAATCCAAAAAGATGAATTATTCGTTGTTTTTTTAACATTCTCGTATTTTATTGAGGCATGTCACCTTCAGATTACATTAGTCTTTTGAATTATGAAAAAGTAAAAATAGAAAAAAAAATGAACTCCACCTACTTGAGACCTTGGAGGTTTTTTCGGAATATTGATTGGAGATGTGTTAGATTGTACGGGTAATGTTGATGATGAAAGGGAGATAGAAGAAACAGGTAATATTTGAGGATCATATTTAACACGTATTCGATGATTGCTTGATGTAAACTTTTCAACCTAAAATAATTGTTTAAAACACTATTAGTATAATCATTGTAGAAACAAACTATAGTCATCCTTCTATTTCTTTCGCTTCACAAATATCAACTTTTTTTTATTGTTCATGCCACCAATTGATGCCAGAAAACAAAAATACATGAGAATTCAAAAGGGTTCTTCCTCTATGGACCTGTCGACAAAGTTATCTGCCTAGATTCTTAATCAAACGCAGTTTTTTTTGTTACAAACTTTTGCAGTAGCAATGTTTTTTTCATGTATCCATGGCTATGCCAGAATAAACTGAACTGGGTTATTGATTGAGATATGAAATAGGAGAAATCCACTAAGATTGAAAGAAATATGAATTTTATGCTTGATAAAACATATTCTGCCTTCTAGGCTATTAGTAACGAATCAACAGTCTCCAAATAAAAAATATTACAACGAGTTAAACAAAAATATGCATTGATACTGTTTGATTTTATTTGTCTATAAAAATCGTTCACATACTCTTTCCGTTCTACACCTTTGAAAATGTATAATTCAAATTCAGGTTTTTTCTGGTCTCTCGTGTTATTTTTATCTTGTACATGCAAACTTCTTTTGTCATTATTATTCTAACCTTTCTATAAGTGTGACAGAAGTATCTGGTTCTCGAAAATATTTAAGATCCTTCATAAATAATTGTTACAATATTCATTAAAAAAAAATCATCATTAAATTCTTAAGAATTTTTCCCTAGATCTGTTGTTTTGCTATGCGTTCAACATATGTCATTTTTTCAAGATTTCCGTTTTATCTTCAAATAATCAAAAAAAATACAATAACAATAATCGTACCTGAGCGTTAACAAATGGACTTAGAGCTCTAGCCATAAGTTTTGCAATCGCAAAGTTAATTTTAATTTACTCAACTTCTTGTCTACGAGCTAAAATAAAATAGTGTTTCTTTTTTATTCTAAAAAAAAAGTAATCGTGACCACATTGTAAATAAAAAAAAAAAAAAACTAAAAACAGAGTAGGATGATTTTGGTATTTTTCTTTTCTTTATAAAAAGATAAACATTACAGTGTTACACAGATGTCGTCGCACTTATGTTTTCGTTTATTCATACAAAAAAATGAATGAATAACCTTGATATTATGCTATTATTCTTTTTCTCGCCATTATCAAGTAGTTGATAGGGTCAAAAACAAAAATTACAAAATTTTTACTTCAGTCTACCTGTGCACCACGAAATGAAGATCTGCAATCTGACCCTATTCTTAACATGTGTAGCTATGAAATACACATTACTGCTATTTTTTCAATCAAACGATAATCTAATAGAGGTTCCATCCGCTAGACAAAAAGTGTTTGATATTAGAGTTCAAAATCAATCAGTTTACTTTTCAGTAATGTAGGTTTAGTTATCAAATATTTCTGCTGACACTGGAAGAATTTTCGATCAGCTGTCTTTGATAAAGCGAGGGTCATAAGTTTGGGGCACGTTCTTATAGATTTATATAGAATAGCCAATTTTAATTTGGCTTAACACAAATAAAAGCCCAATATTACGAAAAAATAATTGAACAAGAATATACTTATTCTCATAAATGAAATAAAATTATATAAAATTTGAAAATTTTGTATATGAAGTGAAGGACATAAGTTTGGGGCACTTGTATTGTCGACTTTTTTCCTCGATAGTAATAGCTGGAACAGATCTGAGAAAAGATTTGAATAGCTGGAACAGATCTGAGAAAAGATTTGAATAGCTGAAAAAGTGTGAATAACTGAAAAAGAGGTACTCCATCCGTCTCTGAAAAAATTTCGAATTTTGAGCTTAGCATAACCTAATGTAGAGAAAAGTGTGGACTGCAAAATGAGATCACTCCCAGCATTCCACGACTTTCCGTCAAAAGCCTAAAAAAACCCAGTTTTTTCGTTTCATAAACTTTTCTCTCTTTTTCTGCTATTTTTTTCTGAAAAAAACTTGAACTCTGAGAAATGAAAAAAATTTTGATTCCCAGATTTCAAAGTGTGCTCTACAAACTGAGCGAAAAATCTGGATGGAAGGATCGATTCCTTAAGGTTTATTTTAGTATATTACTCAAATCTAATTGATGAAAAATCTTCAATATCAGACACTTTTTCTTACATTAAAAATCTTGCACAGTGCTTTGGATAAATGTTTGATAATACTTAAAAAATGATCTTTGTAATTTGATATTGAATAAAATATGTTGAGTGTCTAGATAAAATATATGAATCATATTAAAAAGAAAAGGTACTGACAATTTTCTGTGATTGATACTGATTTTCTCTCTGATATATCGATTTAGATATTTAATAATTTTTTAAATATTAATTACACACAGAATCAACTATTTCATTTGATATTTAATAGTAGATTAATTTATATTGAGAAAATTAAGATCATGAGCAGCAGAAATAATCAAAAAGTAACTTCTAGTATTATTTAAGAACAGCAATCTTCTGACCCAAAAAATAGTGATCTACAAATATAAAAATGTTAATTTTTTATCGAAGTGTAAAAATTAAGTTACGAATTAATCTGTTAGACAAGCCATATTATGTTAAATACTTAATTTATTCGAAGACAATAAAAGATAGAGTGTAGCTTAGATGTAAATACCGTTTTAAAAAATAAAACAAAAGAATGATTCTTAATATTAAACGGTAACCTAAGATAATTTGATAATTAGTAACAAAAGCTGTTTTATGGTTTACAGTCAATTTTTCTAATAGCGATAACCAATCATTCCTTTGAGTAATCACGATTATCAACAAAAAAAAAAACCAACAACAGAAAGCCAAGCCGAACTGAAAAAAAAAACTGAAGCAAAAAAAATAAAAGTAACACATATCATGCATTGTTAAATACTGTTAAAAAAAATAAAAAAAAATGTTTAGGGGTAAAAGGGCAGAAATTTTTTTTTAGAATGTAATACACATGCTTATCATCTACCTTTGACTGAGTTATATAATCTGTAAAAAGATAAGAAATAAAAACTGAAAATAAATTTTATTTTATTTTATTATATGAATTAGATCTAGAGACAAAATTTACCTGACGTTGTTGTCCATTTCTATCTAAATTTATATCATGTAATCGTGTTCGATCTATATCGATTAAACTATTCTGTGAATTTGTCTTTTTCAATGATGTAATAGCACTAAAATATTTGTTAAATAAAAAACTATTATTAAACTAAATTCAGTTGATTATTTTCTTACTCATTGTCTATAATTGTTTGATGTTGTAGTTGAACTTGTTCATCATTATTATCATCTCTTGTAGTTAGTGATGTTATCATACGTGATGATGTTTTACCCGTGATTTTTTCTCGTAAAAATCGAATCATTTTTTCTGTTTGAAATTGTTGATTAAGTTCTAAAAATAGAGAGAAAAAAAAAAAACTAAAAATATTTATATATTTCAAAACAATAAATAAATAACACTCAACAAACATTTGTGATTGATTAGATATTTTAGCAACAACAATTATTTACAAATACAAACACAATCTTTTCTAGTTTTATCTCACCATGCTCAAACTCATCATCACTATTCTCATTATCATTAGACATTTTCGAAGAACTAAATATTAAATTTAACACTGCAAATTTTTAATCAATAAAGTAATTCTTTTAATTTTAATATAATCTGATAATTATTAATTTTAGAACATACCTTTTAATTCATATAAAATTAAATTTCAATTAATTAAGATATTTTACAATTGTATTTGTTATTATAATATAAACACACAACATTCTAGAATAGAAAAAAGAAAATCTATAAATTCAGTTAACTTACATAAAATGTTCACTATTCACATAATAAAAGTAAATTTTTCTAGATTTTGGTATAAAATGGTTTTTGTTAGTTTATTTTCTTACTTTTATAAATTAACAAATCATTGTTACATACCTTAACAATAACTATGTATCTTGCTTCAATAATTTTCATACTAGACGTTATAGAAAATTCAAATTTCTATCAAAACAATGCAAAATCTAAAGAAAAATAAAATAAGAATAAAATAGATTTCTAAATTATGTTAAAAGTTTTACATGTCATCTAATTCTATTAAATTCTACTGAGAGAAGTTTAATAAAAATACAAATTTTTCTATAATCTTTAACGTTGATGAATCTAACTGTTCAATTCTCACTTAATCGACAAGTTTCTAACCGAACAACTAGTAAACGAAGATTTCAAATATCTTTTTGTTCACATCAGATTATAACGGCAAGAAATGTTTTACAAACACGACATTTTCTTGTGGGTCTTCTTACAGTGGTCAAAAAACAAAAAAAACAAAAAAAACAGAAGATAAAAATTTATAGATATATAGAAATTTGTCGATTATAAAGAGAATAGAAGACAATTTGGTGTGTGTATAGATATTTACATTGACATTTTCAAAATAAAACAAAAAAAGAAATTTTATTTTTACCTAACCTTTTGTAATGTATACGAGAATAATAATATTTTTTACAGTATCAACTTGAGCAGTAGCCGCGTGATTTACAACTCTCAATATTATTAATCGTATGTAATTTGATGTCATATATATTACATCAATGTATGGAATGTCAATAATATGTAATAAATTATAATAATAAGACGATGGGTGTCCTTGGAGTCTTAAAAAAAAAAATTTTTACATTGATACTAAAACTTTTCAGTAGAGCTATTGCTTCATTTAAAGAAGATAAGATATGAATTTTGTGTCATCAAACGTGTCTATTGTAAACAAATAGTGAAACTAAACTAAATGTTCTAATTTAATTTAACAATGAAAACATACGAGTACATCTTCAACAGTGGCGGGAGAAGTTGACCTGTCATTTTTGTTCAAATAAATAACAATGTTAAGATGAAAAAAAAAAAAAGAATATTTTTTGTTTGATTAAGAAAAATTTACACATTATCAAATCATGTATAAATTAACTTAGCGCGCGATTGAACAAATCAGCAGGTCTCATTTCTCTATTACATTATTTAAAAAAGTATAAATATTTTCATTATGTTTAATCAATATTTCGGTCTATTATTTTCTATTTCATTAATTGTTGGTGGTAATTCAACAATAAATGTTAAGACATTTGTCGATGCTAGTCATGATGAAGATGATAATTATTTACAAGAAATTGAGGATCAAAATGATGAGTTAAATAGTCGTAAATTCTATTACACAATTTTCTCGTATGTAGTTAATTTACCAGAATATTTCTTACGAATTGTTATTCAAACACTTCGTATTAGAATGGATCTAATTGAAGATGACAATGAAACAGTTGATATTAGTAGTAATGCTTTGAATGATAATAATAGTAGTGGTAATAGAAATATTATGACTCCAAAACTGTGGCTAGCATCGGGAGTGATCCAAGATTCATCGGGACAAAAAAGTGGTGATAAACAAACAAAAACAAAGCAAGATGATGGAAAAAATGGTGACATATTTCTTATACTCCTTTTACACAAATATCATAATTATATCATGCTTTTTTCTAGATAAAATATTACGTGATAGTTTACTGAAACAACCACGTATAAGCAAAGTACTAACAGTAGCTGGTAAAGATTCAACTGTCATAAAAGATGATGATTGTTTATTATTATTTTATTTTTTTGTTACTTGTTATTTTCTATGCATTCTTTTATTATTTTACATTTTATATTGGATATTAAAACGTTATTTTCAAAAGCGTAAACAACATATCGCAACAACAGACGGTGTAACGTCAACAAACACAACACTACTATTCAAAACGAAAAATTATAATAATCAACTTAATAGTATTTATAATGCGCATAGTCTTGTTGAATTAGTAACACCATTATTAACGCAAACACTACCATCTCAGTATCAACAAAATGTGACACAATCAACTCCATCACCCAGTTATGTTTAATAATGAGACAAAAAAACAAACTACAAATATATATTGTTTGTTCTATTGTTTTTAAACACTTCTTTATACCTCTTAAAGAGAAACTTTATTATGCATTGTCTCTCTCATCTTCTCGATTAGTCAGACGATACTTGCACTTCTTTAATTTTTCTCTTCTAAAAATGAATAACTTTATTTTATTTTCTGTGTCTGAATCTCTACTATAGTCGATGATTTTTTTTGAAAGCAACAGTATAAGTGTTTTTTCTATTCGACTATGTTATTTACGTACTGCTGTCGTTTCTGTCAAAATGAACTAATAGTTGTATGTGGGGTCTATACGATTAAAAAATGTGTAATTCCGTTGCGCGGGTTGTCCTAGTTCATATCAAAATAAAATTTTAAATTAAAATTATAAAACTGCAGCGCAGTCTGCTGAATAGTAAAAAAAACAACAGAAATTGATACGCAATTGCAAGAAAAATTTTGCATTTGTTCTCAAAAGAACAGAGTTTTTTTTGCCAGCGAAAACTCATCTTGGGAAGGGTGACGCACGAATGAAATAAAATAGAGTCTCTCACAATTTAAACCTACTCTCACTCTCTCTCTCTAGTGTCAAATTATTAAAAACATTTCGTGAAAAGAAAAACATATTTTTTTGTTTGTTCAAAACAGTTTAATCCATGAATAACATTTAACATTGGACAATATATACATGAAGCAGACAAGCTATAAAGCAGAAATGACAAGATAAGATTAGTTTATATGTTCATTCAGTTGATTGTTGTGCCTGTTGAGGAGGAGGCGGAATTTGTGTTGGTACGATTCCTGGTGGGAATGTCATTCCAGGTGGCATTGGTGGTCTCATTTGCATTTGCATCTGTAACGGCATTGTTGGTGGTGGCCCTAACGGTCTCATACCTGGCGGTAATTGAAAACCCCATGGTGGCATGGCCATCATTGGCATACCATTTCGTGGAGGTTGAGTTTGAGCATTAATTAGTGCACGATTCGCGTGCATAGCCGGATTTGAAATGCCACCTGGACCACTACTACCAAATGGATTAGATTGTAATTTTCCAGATTTGAATGCCGCTGTTGTTTGATCAATCTAAACATGAAAATATTTACTTGTCTGAGCACTTATTTTACTCTTTTTTGTAATAACTCACCAATCGCTGAGCTATAAATAAATAAAAAAGTATTTTATTAGTTTCTACATAGGAATACGTTAAAAAGAAAGTATTTACCTTGTTCTTCCATCCATTTTTGATAATAATCTCGAACATTTTCTTTATGTTTTCGCCCTTGACAATGTGTTTTTCGAACAGATGGTGAATCGTGTGTAAGATAGGTGTCACAGTAGTCACAGTAGTATTTTGGCATTTTTAGATATCTAAAAGAAGCATTAGGTAAAAAATATACAAAAACAGTAGAATTTGGCTAAGCAGAAAAATAGCTAGCGACAAGGTTGCAACAGACCTTTAATTGTGAAAAACTAGTCAGTTAACAGGCAGAATTTATTGTCCTTCATCTGAACTCCGCCATAGTAACGGTCCTTTCAGAAAAAAGAGGAACGTTAAAAATGTTTTTAAGAGGAGCGTTGGGTAAAAAAGAGGAGGCATTTTTTTGGCCAAAAAATGGTACTGACAATGTTGTGTACATGTAAAAGCGGCTTAAGGCTATCGAAGAAAAGATTTCATTCTACTTAAAGTATTTCTTTCCGTGTTTCACGCGTAAAAAACTGAGAAAAACACACCAAAAAGGAATTATTCTAGTTTAAAAGCTGAATGTAGATGAACTCTGTGATAAAGTTGTGGCTGTATGAGACGAAGATGTTGGAGAAATGAATGTGCTATTTTCATTCGCTTTAATTCGCTGATTTTTTCATGGTGTTTATATTTCTTCATATGCCGTACTATCGACTGCCATCCTTTGTTCCCACAATCTAATTCGTCCGTTTTACACAATGTACATATGAATGTTAATTCCATAGCACCTTGCTTTAACCATCGTCTCATAGGGACTTCATCTGCTTTTTCTGTGACTACGAGTGACTGAATTTTTTGTTTGTTTCATATAACGTCATTGATAAAAAAATATATGAGACTACTTTCAGATCTAAAGGTAGAGTGAATTCTGGTATTTTTGCTAAAAAATCCCAGAAAAAGAGGGGAGGTATTGGATTAAAGAGATAAGAGGAGCATTACGAACCCAGTCTGAACTTTACTGATGGCCTAAAAATAAGCAATTATTGTGTATTAGTAAGGCTTAGATTTAGATAACCATTAAATGGTATTTTATTGTCTCATTTTATGACCGTTACATAAACAAACAAAAAACGAACATTTAACGTTTAAAGTTTAATTCACCCTTTTGTTTCGCTGACCTCACTACGATATATCTCACGTTTTCCTCATAGAAAACATAGACTTTTTTACTTTTTCGACTATATAAGTCATCGAAACTTGTGTTGAGGAAGTAGCTAGGTATGGTGCCAGTGATGGCATCAACCACACCTAGTCAATCGAAAATATTCAAAAATTCGAAAAGTCCTTTATTTCATGGTAGTGGTCAGAAAGAAATTAGTCATGATCAACAGACGGATCCTTGGTCATAAACAGCCAATAATTACGCAAAATTGGCTATTAAACGGTCACTGTTAAATGCTTGTTTTCAGTCTTGTTTAAATGCCTGTTTCTTGGCCGTTAAAAAAGTACCACTTTTAGGCATTAACACGTTCTCAGTTATAATGCCAAAAATAAATAATATATAATAATAATTTTAAGTACGATGAATTGACCGATGAGCTGAAAAATTAAAGTGAGGGTCATAACAAACATGGTGCTCGACTTTTATCTGCTCTGAAGAATACTGCTTCGTTTTTGAGAAAAAAACTCTCTACAAAACTGATACAGAATCAGAACTTCAGAAGATAGCTGACAGTCTGGATGAAGTAAAGTGAATGTTTGGAAAAAAATCAGTCTAGTATAGATATGACAACCTTGTGGTAGTAATTTCACTTCAATCAACCTTAATCTTCTATTCGAACCGGCTTTCAGGATTTAGCTGTTTTTAATAACCGAACTTTATACTTTAACTATGCAATGAGAAAGCTATGATAGAATTTTCTCACTATTCATTGAGTTCCCAAATATTAGAAAAATCCCAAGTATACGTTCTCCAAACTTCAATAAAATCGAAGAACTACACATAGACAAAAAACAGATGATAACAAGATCAAAAGGCTAGTTTTCCAGCTTTTTCAAGAACGAAGAATTGAGAAACATTGTATACAAATATACACTTTTATGAAGAAAAAAAGGGCAAAAGTGTTTCTTAGCCTCCCTGTTGCAGAGTCGAATATAATATGTGCATTTTACGCCAGTAGACAGTCAGAGCACATCCTCATCCTCTTGCTCATATTACACTTTCACTGATTTCAATGAGAAAAATATCTATCTATAATGAGATGTAGAAATACCACTTTCGGACAGTATGAGATCTCACGCTATAGATGTCGCTATACGATAATGATTGCTCACTCACCTTAGCATGTACTCATTATTGTAGTTATTACACTAAATGCGTGCTCTTTTTCCTGTTAGGCTACCCCTGTATTAAAATCCTAATCTGAAGCAATTGTCTCTTGCTTTTTCTTAAATGTTTAGTATTTTTTTTCACATGGCTAGACACTTCCATTTTATATTAATCGGAAGAGCAAGCTATCAGCTACACGCCGAAAAACGATTTCCAGAAACCAATTTAATTTGTATAGGTAAAATTTAATTTTGAGAGTTTAAGCATAAACTTTTCAAAATATCAAAAAATTAAATAGGATCAAACTTCTATTCTGTTTCAACTACGATGCTGATAAGAGCGAAAAAAATTACATCGCAATCAGATCACGAAACTCTTCGGATATAACAAGTTATAGTTTTCAATTAACTAATTCGTTGCTGTCTATAGTCTACTTAACAAACAGGGGCAGAATTGCCACTTTTCCATTTTCGTTAGGAATTCCCATGTTTTGTGAATAGTTTCACAAATATTTGTCTCATTCTGATACATACTTTTTGACAATTTCTGTCGTTTCTTCCCAGCTAATATAAACAGTATTATGTAATATTGCAAAATACGTACATTATACATAATAATACATATTTATTATTTTGTATTATACTTAGATTATTTAGCTATAGTTAGGACCAAAAACTTGTTAATTTTTTGATAATTTTGCGGTAATAATATCTTAATAAAAGAAATTTAAGGGTACCCCCTCACCTCTTTTTGGGCTTTCCGTAGAACTGCTGTGTAATAAAAACTAAAAGTCACTAAGGCTTCATATTTTCAGAACTGATGGAAACTCAATGGGGCACTTTTTCGTTTTTATTACAAGTTTTTAACTATTGCTGTTCAGAAGTTTTCCAGAAAACTAGTTTTTCGTTTGACAACATTACGACTCCCCTTAAAATTTCATCCGATCGAGTTAAAAATTTCACCAGAGATACTCAAGGTCATAGCGCAGAGGTACAGTTTTGGAAATTTTTTTAAGACCTTTTATGGTTGAGTTATAGGGAACATGCTGAAAACCAACAACCGTTCAAACACTGTCAACCATAGTACATAGGCCACTTTTTTCAGGGCATTTGCCACGATGTTTATTTATATCTCCACGAAAACTCATCGAAAAATTCTGGAAAACCTCTTATTGTGAAGAAAACACGTTTTTTTATCAGACAATGGGTAAGAAAAATTGTAAATGTACAGAAAGGGACAGAAAAGTTTATGAAACTAAAAAATTGAATCTTTCTAGACTTTGTAGGAAAAACTTCAAAAATGCGTAACTATTTGAAGAAATTTAGTAATTTTACAACCGCCTTCTTAGTTACTAGAGACTCAGACAGAATTCATTTCTGAAAGAATCAAAGAAGATACCACGACCGGTGGTGCTTTTCACATTTATCTCAACAGTTGTTGAGTGAAAGTTACTAGATACAGTTTATGTTTAAAAGGATGAGTCATTTCTGATAGAATGAAAAGAAATACTTAACGTAGAGAAGCAGAACATGTTGTACAGTGATATCGAGCTTCGCTCTCGTCGTGTGAAAGTTATCGTTCTTTGTTCGATAAGAACAAGGAATAGTAACACCCTCATACGGTGTGGACGGAGTTTGTGTTGCTTGTCGTGCCCTAACTCTGTCTTTCTCGAAGGAAACCACCTGATGAGACCCTTGAGAAAGGTCGAAACCGGTCGTGGTATCTTCTTTGATTCTTTCAGAAATGAATTCTGTCTGAGTCTCTAGTAACTAAGAAGGCGGGTGTAAAATTACTAAATATAATTAAATTTAAGTCGAGTTTTATATACAGATTTATTTGAAGAAAGGTGAATTTCTGGGAGTGGTCTCATTTTATAGCTCACGATTTCCTCTGCTTTAGACTATGCTCACCTCAAAATCCGAAATTTTTTTAAAATAGAGGGGGGTACCCTTAAAGGTTTCTCGTGGAAGCTCTTCCGTAAAGATTTCGTCATCGAAATGTATCTTGTGCCTTCCATTCTAGTTTGGATTTTTGTCTGTTTAGTAACATGTACCATACTACACATGAAGTAGACAGTTATAATCAATTATGAAAGACAGAGAGAGAAGAAAAACAAATTATTAGTCTCATTCTTGCGTATAGCCGACACTAATATCCAGGAATGAAATTTAAGTTGCCCATTTATATAACAGGCTATAAAATGACATTAGTTTTTTACTTTTGTCGAAAAGCCATCGAATGAAACAAAAAAACTTTTGTAACTTAAATTTTCTGCGATTTTGAAGCTTTGCATAATTATTCATTTCATTTTCCACTTTCACACTTTGAGATAAAACAGTCAATACATTTTTCGTAGAGAATTGAACGGGCTGCATTCCACAAAAGAAAATCAATTTCATGAGTTTAAAGAACACGAGAAAAATCGAAAATACAAAGAGATCAGCCTTGTCTGTTTCACTCGTTAAAATATAACAGTCACGACACTGAAAAATATTCAGAGAGAGTATATCGGGTCGGGTTCAGATTTAGTTGCGGTCTCGTCGAGTTAGGTTCTCATTATCGGTGCAGATCTCTGATCTCCAAGCGGTTTGAATAAATGCTTCAGGATGTTTTATAATTGTCGTAAAGTTTCATATTACCGGTTTTACAAAAATAAATAATTATATAAGAAACATAAGCCTTTTTAATTAAATTTCTTTCATTCAGTTACGTTGTTGAACCCAAAATCAAGGGTGCAAGTTACGTCGGGATTAGATACAACCTTAAAGGCTATAGGTATATTTTGAATGTATCATATAATAGATTCTGTTTTCCGTTACTTTGTCAAAATCAACTCAAAGGAGCTAATGAAAATGCTTTGTTCGTTATCAATTATATTGTTTGGCTGTTTTTATTACGTGTGTCCTATTGATGTATTACAACCAATATCTACATCGGCGCCAGGCTCATTATATCCTCGTATCACTCATCCGCGTCAACCTAAACGTTTAAATTTAGCTAATAAAGAACAACCGCTACATACAAATAAATATTTTGGCAATGCCTATATGGAATCAGGTAAAAATCCAATATTTTCACATCCCTATGTTTTGTTAGCCAATTTTGATAGCCCATATGGTGTTTCAATATCAAATAGTGAAGAATGGTCATTTGGTCCACAAATTGATTCGACACGTGTTAAATATTTCATAAATACCATTCACAAAACACTACAAGTGAGTGCCACTGAATTTACAGGACAAAATTTTGAAATAACCAGTTTTGATGAGCCCGGTTTTTCATTCACCATGAAATTATTTCAATCGTCATCAACAATCACCATGCCAATTGTGAGAGGTATGACCTATGTTACATTTGAATATGCGAATGCAACACCAAAAATAACTACCGTTCATGCAATATTAAATGTGAACGGACAATCGTCTGGTCAGGTCACCTGTGATCGATTTGAAATTGCGTTAAATAATGGTCAAATATGGATTTTGTACTCATTAAATGGTGAAATAACGTTAAACATCAATGGAAATGAACTAGTTGGTACAAGTAAAGTCACAAGTGTATTACGAGTGGTTAAAAAACAATCGGATTCAACTGCAAATCAAGTATTAGATGCACATTCGACTGTTTATCCAACCGGTTGTACATTGAGTGCTGATGTAACTGGTACTAAAGGTACAATGACATTCAACTGGATATTGAAAGGTGATACAAGTAAAACATTACTCCATTTTACATTTCCCCATCATCGTCCGGTCATCTCAAATGCGACACCAACCGGTGTCAGAGCACAATCATCCACAAAAGGTGAAATGATTGGTTACATTGGTAATGCATGGACATTAACCGAAACATTATCAACTATGGGCTTCTTGGCACCACGTGATCCAGCTACACAGTACAACGATCATATTCGAGCTCAACTAAAAGTGGACGTCATTAATGAAGCTAATATAGCACAAGGAGATTATTATTTTAGTGGAAAAGAATATCATAAATATGCATTATTATGTTTACTTGCAAATTATTATAACGAACAAACATTGAAAACACAATGCATTCAAACACTTCAAACGAAATTTAATATTTTACTTGAAGGAAAAAATTCAAATGCATTAAGATATGATACAACATATAAGGGAGCTGTTTCATCTGCTGGTCTTGGTCCACTGCAAGAATTAGCTGATTTTGGTAATTCATATTATAATGACCATCATTATCATTGGGGTTACTTCATCAACACGGCAGCAATTATCGCCGAACTTGATCCAACTTATATACCGAAAATGAAAGATTGGATTGAAATTCTATTACGTGATGCCAATAATCCGTCACCAAAAGATACTAATTTTCCGCAATTTCGCTATTTCGATTGGTTTTCTGGACACAGCTGGAGTCAAGTAAGTAAGCTACTTAATATTTATTTATGATAATAAAATTTTTTACAAATCCATAGGGTTTGTTCGAAAGTGCTGATGGCAAAGATCAAGAAAGTACATCCGAAGAAGTTAATTTTCATTATGGTTTGGCACTATGGGGTAAAAGACAATAAACAACAGAAAGAACTCAAATTTTTATAACTATCATTCTTTCGTTTAAGGTAAAGCAACAAAAACGCCCCAGTTAGAAGGTCTTGGTCGATTAATGCTTGCCACAGCAAAACGTGCAATTCAAACATATTTTTTGATGTCAGATGATAATACTGCATTACCAAAACAATTCATAAAAAACAAAGTAACAGGAATTTTCTTCGAAAACAAGGCCGACTACGCAACGTGGTTTGGTGCAAATCCCGAATTTATTCATGGCATACAGTAAGTCTCTAAAGTGATCTTCATTTATTAATCACCTGCTTTTGTTCATCTCAGAATGATTCCAGCTACACCCATAACAGAAGAAGTTCGTCTACCAAAATTTGTTGAAGAAGAATGGAACCAAATATTATCCAAAGTTGTCGGGAACGCAGTTGAGGGTTGGAAAAGTTTATTATACATGAATTATGCAATTATAAATAGAGGTGAAGGATTTGCTCAATTACTCAAAGTCCCACTTGATAATGGAGTTTCGCGAACATGGGCTTTGGTGAGTTGATAACATAAACAGATATCAAACGATATAACATGTAAATATTTGCCATATTTAGTATTGGGCTGCCACACGTCCAAACTCAAATGATGGAACTCTGCCACCTGTAACAGATCCAACAACAACGCCGTCCGTAACGGGAACAACAACCGGCACAACATCTGGAAATGAGTGCACATTGCCATTGAATAAACCGTGTAAAAGTCTCGCAGCACCGGGAGATATTAACAATGGATTAGGGATGTTTTACGATGTCAATTGTCAACAAGGTGGTGTAGGATGTAATCACATTCAACATTTATGTCGATTATGTGCAAAAGATCCAGCAGTATATAACAAACCTTATATTCCGTGTCCTGCATGTGTTTAAAGTTATTGAATGGATAGTTTTTAATATTTTTCATTTTATTTGTCTAATATTTACTCACTACCGCTATAGAAGGCAGCTCTTTGGTTGTTTCTGTCGTCGGGATATGAGGCAACATCAGTTCATTAATAAAACTGGTTGTTGAACGAGGTCTAATGTCAGAAAAGCACAAAAAAAGATACTTAACAGTGTGTTTACAATTCTGTTAAAGATCGTGTAGGTTTTCTAATGAGACAGCATGAGCATACATCTCTGCTCGTAAAACTGCTCGCGTAGTTAGTTCTGTACAGTAATGTTTTAACTTGGGTAATCTGCTTTCTTGATGAATGTATGTAGTCAAGGTGTAGCATGATACTTCCAGTGCACCTCTTAATCTTTTATCTTGCAATATTTACAGCTCCTTCTATATTTTATCGTCCGCTTTTAGTAAGGCTACTGCTCCATAGGTTAAAAAAACTGGTCAGATAAATGATTTAAATAGGTTGGTCATCATTCTATAATTTAATTATGGCGAAGATGTAGAGAGGAACCGCAACAGACTAATTCTGTATTGTGTGCGATCCTTAATATGTGTAGTGTGATTTTTCCACGAAAGAGTTTGATCAGAAATCACCCCTAAATACCTGGCATATGGTAGCAGTGTACAGTTGTTCTTCCAACAGTCACTGCAACGGGATTTTTGTATTTTTTACGTGGCTGCGGCCCGAAATAAAGAAGTTCCGTTTTGATTGACTGTAACGTTAGTTTCCAAGATCGACACCAACGTTGAAAAGCGTCTACCGATTCTTGCAGCCGTTTGTTTAGACATGATGTGGTGTTACAAGTCATTCATAGCGCTGTATCGTTAGCAAATAAGCCATAGTGAGTGTGATCTGGTATGTTACTCATTGAACCTGCAGTATATAATATGTACAGAACTGGCGATAAAGGAGATCCTTGAGACGTTTTACTTCTTAAATCGAATTTGTTTGATAACACGTTTCTAGTTCGATTGCAGCTGTTCTGTCGTTGAGAAAGAAAGGATATAATCCAACTAGTGATATAGTTCGACAGCTTCAGATCAAATAATTTGTAGACTAGACCATCATACCAAATAGAGTCAAATACCCGCTGGACATCAAAAAGCTGACGACTGAGTGTTTTCTGTTGCTTAGATGTTTTCTAGTAAAGGCTAAGACTGTCATTAATCAGTCTTTCATTATCTTTTTCATTATTTCACCTATTCCACTTAGCAAACTGATGGCTTAGGATAGCTAGCTGGATCATCCTTTCTTTTCTTTGGTTTTAATAATAAAATAATGTAGGCATGTTTCCATGGAGTCGGAACATAGCTAACATTTAGTGGTCCACTGAATAGCTGTGTTAAATGATTTACAAGTGATGGTGTGAAATTTTTAAGGCGTCTATTATGGAGGTGATCTGGACCCCGCGAAATGTTTTTTAATCTTTTCTGATAATAAGTGACTTCTTTTAGGGTAATTCTTTCGGTACTAGACAGAATAGACTACTTAGATAGAACGTTCATTTCTCTACAAAATGAGATATTTTCCACGTTTACATTGCTTAGCTAAATCAAATCGCATCAAAAACTCGAAAAGAACGCATTAACGGCTAAAAGATGAGTGATTTTACTGATGTTGTTGTACAACAGTTCCGTATTGACTCCAGCTCAGTCATTCTTCAACTTAAAAATGTGGAAAATGTTGTTCGGCGATAATTGCTGTAACAACATTTTGTAGAGAAATGAACATTCTGTCTAATGGTATGTTTAAAAAAAATTTCAATGTACTTTGCAGTTGGTAGGTCTTCCGGAAAACCCGGAATTTCAAAGAGCTATATCTCAAAACCGGAGATAAGATATTGAGATCTCAGTTGATTCATATGTTTCAAAACGTATAGAGTCCGAAAATGTCCATTGGGGTCAACAAAAATGGGAAAACGTAGTTAAAAATAGCTTGAGGGACCATCAAAAATCAAATAAGTGCCACAATGCTTGTGAAAGATGGCTCTCAGTAGAATTAGGAGCAATGTGGACTATTAAAAACTACATTTCTAGATAGAACTAACGGCGAGGAATCTGATACACATATTGCTTTTGAGTTTAGAGTTCGAGTTGATGGTGAAAAACCCTTTAATACGACAGATCTTCATGATTTTCACCATTTTAGAACAAGTGCAGTAGAACAATGACGCATTTTGAAATGTGTTTAAATGAGACATTTTATTCATTTTTGTCTCTAGTCTATATCCTAAAGCGTTGAGATTTGTCGCTTTTGTCATTTCTGAGATAATTAGGTATGAATTGCGTCTTGGAACCTATAAAATCCCCAAATGTCGGATCTTCCCCGTATCTCATACCAATATTTTCAAACTTTTTAGATGCTTTACTCAGAATTAAATGCTCTTTCAAATGAGATCTGTCGATTTTTGCGGCAGACCTTCATGTAACGTGTGAAACAGTAGCGAAAGAATTATCTTTTACAGTAATTTCTGGTATATTCGAGTAGTAGTTTGTGCTTATAATATTGTCTTTTGTCCGCCTCCAAATCGTACTTTTTCCAGAAACATAATTGTGCTTTTTGTAGAAATATATTTTTAGAAACTACTGCCATCTATACATAGGAAGATTAATTCACAACAAAATAATTCTAGGTTATAATACAAAAAATCAAAAATAGAAAAATAATCAACTAACATCACAGAGCTGCTCTCGTTCAATTCTTTCACTGTATTATATTCTTTTCACTATATTTCCCCTTTTTTTGCCGAAAATAGCTCTTTGCTTGTTGTAATAAAAATGCAGCTTCGATTTCTCCTGCTTGATGAACCAAATTATAAAAATATGATGTTTCATCTAATAACAATTCATATCCATTAGCAAATTCAACAGCTTGTCCGTCCGAGAGCGTCTACAATTAATAGAAAAAACATGATTTAGTTAATTAAAAATAGGAAAAAAACTCACTAAGATTTTATCACTATCAATTATTGTACGTAGTCTAAATAAGCAAAAAAAAATCTGTTTTAAAAGTGAGAAAAATGGCATGACAATTGACTAACCTATGAGCTATTGTTAATACGGTATTATCGACAAATTTTTTTCGGATAGAAATTTGAATGAGTTGATCAGTTCTAAAAAAGAACTCAGATCAGTAATCATTAATAAGATGATAATTTTCTTTTTCACGAATTTACCTATGATCAACATTTGCGGTGGCTTCGTCAATGACTAATATTTTATTTTTTCTTAATAATGCTCTAGCCAAACAAATAAGTTGCCGTTGACCTACAGAAAAATTTGTTCCACCTTCAGTTACCTGTTGCGATAGACCATTAACTAATTCCGATTTTAATTGAACCTAAAAGAAGAAATAATGAAATTATGTTATCTTATTGAATATTTTACAATTCCTTACTTCATCTAATGCTTTCCATATTTCAATATCAGAGTATTCACCAAATGGATCAAGATTAATACGTAACGTGTCATTGAATAGTACAGGATTCTTGATAAAATTAATATTAGTAATAATGTTTCGATGTACCATTATCTATTTACCTGTGGAATAATGGATATATGTCGTCGAAGATTATGCAGAGAAATTTGTTTTGTATCTATTCCATCAATTAGAATGTTTCCTTCTAATTCAGCCATACGAAATAATGCTTGAATTATTGAACTCTAAAAGAATGAAGAAAATAATATAGAAATGTTTGATCATTGCTCATAATGCTTTTGAACTACACTTAACTTTCCTAAAAATAAATAGAGATGATTGATTAATAATTTACTACTAGATTAGTGAAAAAAATATCCTACCTGCACCTGTTCGTCCAACAATGCCGATCTAAATGGATAAAGAATAATTTATTATTATAATCATACTAATGAAAATACCAATATTTAATGGAATGTTTTACTTTATTACTTCATCTTAACATGATACCTTTTCTCCTGGTAAAATTGTTATGTTTAGACTATTGAGCACCCATGGATTCTCCGGCGAATAGCGAAATGATACATTATCGAAAATAATCGAACCGGCTGACGGCCATTGGGGTGGTGGGGATTTGAGAGTTTTTGATGATATTTCTTCTGGTTTTAAATTACAATATTCAAGAACACGTTCAACACTTGTCATCTAAAACAACAGAATAAAAGTGAAAATGTAGTCAACTTAATTAGTGAAGTAAGTCTCTTTCTCACGTGCATAGCTACATCAACACTGAGACGTGTAAACCATTGAACAGATCCAATCAGTCCAAATGAATAAGCTAGTATCAAACTTAAGTCGGATATTGGTAAATCTAAAACAACAATTATGTAGTATATATAACAAAAACATAACAAGATTACTTCGATGAAATGCAAATACAGAAGTTGTTAATAAACCAACAAATGATGATGCAATGCAATCGATTCTCATGCCTGCCCATCGTGTAATACCAACCATAATTGAATAGACTTTTGTATGAGAATCAAGATGATAAGAAAAATCATTGAGACACAATGATTGAGAGCGATATGAACGAATCAATGGTACACCGTGAAGTGTTGCAGATAGATGACTATATATTGGACTTCGAGCTTAAATTAGATTACATAAATATAATTTATTATTGAGTAAACTGTGTATTATACATACCAAGGCTTTCTAAACGTTTAACATCTCGCATAGCTGGACTAAATACATTCCGAACATAGTACAGTACAATCGAGATAATGGCCATAGCAATAAGAGATATTGGTTGAACGATGGCAATAAATATTATTGTACACATAATTGTAGATGAGACCTGTATAAAAGAAACTCTAAAGTTAAATAGTTAAATATTATTTTACAAAATGAGAACTCACATCAGTGATGTCGTATAAGATAGCCGTCAATTGTTCATCCAGTGATGATACATCTTTAGAAAAACGATTGATAACGCGACCTACAAGCAACAGCCATAATACACCAAACTTCAAAATTTGAATCTAATCAGCTTGTATTACCTATAGGATTTGTATCAAAAAATAATACGGGACATCTTAAAATTGCTTGAAACATGCGATTATGCAGTGTACGAGCAGCTATCAAACAATTAATCAAGAAGGCTACTGTACGAATAAAGAGTATTACCACAGCCAGAACAGTTAGACCTGCGAAAAGAAAGAGTGATAACACCATTCTTTAATAAAACGGTTGATAAAACGTATGGTAAAGGTAACTTCTAGTTTGTCAGCTACAGTTTAATACCACTTACTTCCACTTAACCCTGACACGAACACCAGGGGTACATCAGGACTCTTGGGGCACCCGATGACTCTTGGTAGTCTTAAAGACAGATGGACAATGGATAATCGAGCATACTGAGTTTGTGGCAGTATTTGTTTTTAGAGAAAGTTTTAAAAACCTACCGAAAAGCCAGTTTTACGAAAATTAGGGTTTTCAGGTTGTTTTCATCTAATATTAAAAAATCCACTATTCCCTCAAAAAATATCAGAACAAACTCGAAACCTCAGAATATGATTAATGTTGTCCGCTAAACATGTTTATAACATCCAAAAAATCGAAAGACACATTTTTGTTAATAGATTTTCCAGAAACCCCTTTGTAAAACCTCAGAGTTTTTTAAAATTTATTTCGAGATCTTCTATAAACAGGATATAGAGTAGCTTAAATACTCTACATTCTGAAGTTTTGAACTCGTTCTGATGTTTTTTGAGGGAATAGTGGAATTTTTAATATTAGATGAAAACAACCTGAAAACCCTAATTTTCGTAAAACTGGCTTTTCGGTAGGTTTTTAAAACGTTCTCTAAAAACAAATATTGCCACAAGACTCAGCATGCTCGATTATCCATTGTCCATCTGTCTTTAAGACTACTAAGAGTCACCGGGTGCCAGTCCTGGGACTCGTCGGAAATCCTAGCCATACCAAGAATGGCGTGGTTTGGCTGTACCTGTTTTATCACGTTGGGGTCCACATGGACCCAAGGTGGACAAGAAGTGGTCGGCCTTAAGGTGTTCGTGTCAGGGTTAACCTTGCTTCTTCGAAAATTCTATTAGGTAGTTCTATTGAGGCACTTTGAACAAATCTATAGTTTTACCTAACAGAACATAAAAATTTCGATTTCGTTCTTTAAGCCATTCCTCCGTTGACATATTTTTAATTCTATTATCCATTGGTATTGTACAATTCATAGTAGAAATTTGATCAAAAGTCTCATAACGAATACGTTCTTGATTTGACCATCTTCCAAGCCACCAATTTGCCAAAATAAAAATACTTGCACTACTTTTAAACATTAAAAATAATATTATCATTCCAAATATTCCGAGTCCTGCCCGAAAATATTCGAGAAAAATCTTTTTATGTATTTTTCCAGTTTGTTTAATTTCTACAGTTTGAGTTTCAGTAGGCTTTTCAGCTAATAATGGCATAATAGTTTCTTCTTCTTCTTCACCAGGAGTTGTGAGCTAATCAGAGTAAAAGAGATAATATTATATTGCTTAGTTTTTTAAATGGAATAATTACTAAAATTTGTGTCGTATATTCAACGGGTACAACAGGTACGTTTAACTGTGTTGTTGAAGATGAGACAGATGAATTTTGTCTATTTTTCTGCGTTGTTTCAATCCACCGGGTGAATGCCGGACATGTTTGACATAAATGTGTGTAAGTGCCACTAGCAACCATTTCACCCTGGAATATACAGAAACTGTTAGCGCTGTTTTAAAAAATAAAATGTAGCTACTAATTGACTTTGATATAACCTCTGTTGGACGAAGACTTTTTTGTGCCCGGAATTAAGACAGATTTGTGTGCCTGGTCCGGGTACAAAAAGATCTTCTTACACTTTTGTGCCCGGAGACAGATATGTGCCCGGATTTGATTGATTTGTGCTCGGTTTGTGTGTGAGAAAATTTAATAGTAGACTATGAGTTATCCGGACAGATATCGCTTGTGACATACGTCTATACGTTTATGAGGAATTTTTTGATGAGAATGATATGAAATCATTTATAAAACAAAATAATATTTCAATAAAACGAACCGAAACAATAGCTCTTGGAAAAAAGTAACATATCGATGTACCCAAACTAGAAAATATCCTGAATGCGATTTTCAAATTCGTGTGATCTATTACAATGATGAAAAAATTGTTGTTTCAATGTCTAGTGAACATAATCATGATAATCGGAAGACCAATAAAAGTAGAAAATGCGTTGTCCGGTGTTTAGCTGTTATGCTTACATATTCTCTCCATACTGTCTATTTCTGCCACTACGTCAGTAAATAAATAATGATAATAACCTTTCTCATTATTATTCCTAATCTAATTAAAACCGGACGCAAATCAATCAAATTCGGACACATATCCGTCACTGGGCATAAAAGTGTAAAAAGACTTTTTCGTACCCGGACCGGGCACAAAAAAACATATCTGTCTTAATTTCGGCACATAAAAACTTTAAGCCACCTCTGTTTCACGTATATGCTTCTTTTCTAACTCCTTATATGGTTGCCTACCTTGTCCATAAATAATATTTTTGTTGCATATTTCAAAAATTGTATTTGATGAGTAACAAGAACGCAAATTTTTGATCTAAGTTTTCCCAAAATACATCTAAAAAGTAAAAACTAAATAATAATATGAACAGAAAGAACTGATATGAAACATACTTTTCAAATAAATGGCGACCAACTTCGACGTCAACAGCCGACAAGGGATCTATGTAAAACAAGGGTGAATGTTGACCCAATATATAGAAGCTAATGGAACTTACCATCAAGAAGATAAATATCATCATCACGATATAATGCACGAGCCAAGCTTAAACGGGCCTTCTGACCTTTGAAAAAAGGCGATACGTGATACGTGCTCATTGACGGTTATTTAATAGATTACGGAATAACATGATATTTTTGTGTTTTTCGTCAAAAATGCTTTACCTCCACTCAGAATGACACCTTGATCTCCCACTAATGTTCCTTCACCATAAGGAAGATTCTCTAAATCCTTTAACAATGAAAGATTATAAGAATTTAATTTGCCTAATATTGAGAAATGAATCTACTTTGTTTAATGCAGCTGTATAAATACAATTCGTAAATTTTCTGCTATCATGTGGAAGACCAAATAAAATATTTTCTCTAATTGTTCCAGAGAATATCCATGGCTCTTGTGGGACATAACAAATTTTACTATCATTTTTAACATAAATTGTACCACTTGTTAATGGCATTTCTCCTAGCAGTGATAACAGCAAGGAACTCTATAGGAAAAATATTTCAGTATAAAAATGCAAACGATTATCAAGTTCAATACTAACTTTTCCACTGGCAATTGGACCAATGACCATAACTAACTCTCCAACTTTCGATGTAAATGAAATATTTTGAAGATGAAATGATGCATTCTAAAATGGAATGTGTTTTCAGTAACTTTTATTATCAATATGTTCATCGATAGAATTAACTTACCTCCCAACTAGCCGATAAGTGTTCAGTTTCTAAATATAGTTTTGTTTCATCAGAAGAAGTTAACGTCGTCTTTTCTTTTATAGCATTTGACCGATGATATTCTTCCAATAACAAAAAGTCCTAAAATACCGCTTTAATATATCAACATGAAAAAAAACTTAAAGTTTGTGTAGAGCACTAAGAAAAGTGCTTTTTCGTATTTAGTATGATCGATAATCTCGAAGACTTTTGTACACAAGACGAATTGTTAGAAGTTTGAAAATAAAATATTTCCATAGAAAAATAGTACTTGTTTGAAAAATATTTTTAAATCAATTTCTGATAATATATCTCGTTCAAAATAGAAAATCTTTGATGTTATCGGCTATGCTAAATATGAAAAACATTTTTCCACAACTCCATCGTTAATAAGTTATCTTTCAAATCTACTCATACAATACTATTTAGTCTCTGTAACAGACATTATATAGCAGAAAGAGGATTTTTGGAATAGGTGCAGCTCTTAAAACGTTACTTGTATTCGTTTAGCCGCTGCCCAGTATTGACTTAAATTAACGCATACACCAGAAAAATTGTGTAAAAATGTATGTCTTAAATAAGAAATCAAAACAAATGCTATTGTGAAAAATTCTGTGTCGAATGGTATTTGTTTGTACCATAGTAATCCAAAAATTTGAAGAAAAAATATTGCTGCAAATGCTTGACCATTGACAATTTTAACGCTAGTCATCAACGATTGAAATATAATATAATACGTTTCAATTCTATAATATACACATAAAAAAATATTTTTATATATAATTAAATATATTTTTTAAGGTAACTTACCGTCGAACATTTTCGACTTTTTGTTGAAATGGTTGTTGCCAACTGTACATTTTAACTAAATGAATTGATTTTACAATTTCATTCATCAACTTAATACGGAGATCTGTTTTTCGAACTCGTTTTGTCCTGAATAACAATAATAATCGATAAATAAAAATTTATAAATATTTATAATTTATCATTACCATATAATTTGTATGCATTTTCCACAAGCCATTTGTAATAATAATACAAATATTGTATAACAAGCAGCGATTAAAATTGTATAGCCAATTTTAATCCATAGAATAGAGAGAACAACAATCGTCTCGAGTATGCCCACCCAAAAAAAATGTCCATCTAATGATAATTTTTCTATTGTTGCCACATCGTTTGTCATAAGATTGATAATTTTTCCACTGGCAATTGATGACAATGATGACAATGAAAGACGAATGATCTAATAAATAAATTATATTATCAATACTAATACATTATAAGTACAAAAATGATTTTGTTACTTTTCGAAAAACTAAACCAGTATATGCTGTTCTCAAACGCATTCCAATCAGAAAAGTTCTCGTAAAACACATATGTCTACTTATAAACATTAACCATGGATAAAGACATGTTAAAAATCCCATTAGAAGTGCTTCCCATATTTTTATTGATGAGCATGATTTGAAATATTTCATAAATCTGGCCAATATAAATGGTTGAGTAAAACGTAATAAAGTCTAAAATGAACTTCTATTGAAATTTTTACGGTCTAACATTAAAAGTACTACATACGTAAATAAAAATGTAAATTCCGACAGTGGAATATGTTTTATAACAAACTGAAATTGTTGCCAATATCAAAGATGGATTTTTCTTCTTTTTTCGTGATAAAACAACTTGATTTTCCCATGCACTTAAAAAATAATTCACGTTTATTATGACTTGGTTAATCAAAAATATTAGTCTGTTTTGAAAAATATTGGAATACACCATACTTACAGTTCTAAATTTTCAATTAGTGAATTACTTTTATCTTGTGGTAAAATATCAAATAAATCTTTTTCTTCTAAGGATTTTTTTGAAGCAAGATAGAGCAAACTTGTAACCCAACTGTAAGAGTAATAAAGCAAAGAAAAATTATTTAGTATAGAAATAATTAGTCTCATAAAAGACTTACGTATGAAATATTTTCGAAAACCAATTACACTTTAAATATGGATGTGGATTAGAATGCGAAGTGATGGTAATATTATTGTTCATTTCTTCGATATTTTAATGGAAGAAAAGAAGTAAAAGAAATGTAGACTTCAAGAAATCTACAACGTGCGTTGTGTCGTTTCTATTAAGTCAAAATAGATGAAATGTATCTTTGTCTTATTATGTAACTCAAATAATTTTCCTATCCTTATTTCCTATTGTTGTACGCGCTGACCCATACTCTACTCTTTTCTCTTCTCTAAGAAGAAATATCTTTTCTGACTTTTTTTTCCTCTAAGCTACTATATCTGGACTATGCTATAGTTTAGTCGATTCTCTTCTCTTTCGGTTAGTTATTCAAAACCTTTACTTTTGCTGTGGTAAGACAATCTGTTTTTTTTTCTTCATATTTTTTTCTGTCTATATACAGAACTAATGCCTATCATTCTGCTTATAGTGAAATAGTCGTTAAGGCCTCTATTATTTCATTCAGAAAGTGTGTTATTTTTATGGCTTCAAATGAACTGAAACTTTGTTTTGCTATTCTCTTTACAAATCGATATAAATAAAATTTGATTGCTTATAAAAATAAAACTTATTTCTCAAAAATAAATATTCTACGATTTTCTTCTTTAATGTATGTGTATCGTGTTATAAAAAATTGCATATCGTGCTAGCAAAGCAAAGTAGAAGTCACACAAATAGGAGAAATGTAATATTTTTTACTCATTTACTCACAAAATACAATATTACATTTTTTTCAGTCTTCATTTCTGCTTACTCATCCAAAAAAATGATTTTATTTACCCGATTAGCTAAAACCTCAAAGTTATCAAAAATGAAGTAATATAAGGTGATACAATCACAGCCATATTTTATTCTATAAAATGTTAAAGAAATATTTTTTTGTTATACAACATCATTCATCCTCGTTTCGTGGTTGAGTATATCGTTTTTTTCCACATTAATAAATTTATAAAAAAAATGCTCAACATATGTTTTCCATTCGTCTCAAGAGCTCATATATCTTGCACGTGAGAAAAGCAAATATGGTTCTATACATTATAAAAATAAAAAAAGTACTTGATATAAAATACTTTTGGCTACACGGTCGAAATGAGTTGTTAAGAATATAAATTGAGTGAGAAAATGATGATTATCATAACGGTACGTTATGCACAAAATTTTGGTTCACTTCTGGGAGAAAATGCATTTTAGTTAACGATATTTGTAAAAAATGTTTGCCGGAAGGACAGATAAAATTTCATGAACAACGTTTTCATCTACTGGTATCAAAACCATCACATAACAAGAAGTATATTGAAAAAGAGAACAAAAAAAAGTAAGTTATACCGATACTGATTGTTGACCTTGTTCTTTTCTTCGCAAACATTTCTGTACGCTGCCATTTCAGACAAGAATCTTGACGGCTGAATCGCGTAACGCTCCTACTGGAGTGTAAGTGCGTTACTGTTTTTACTCTTTTTGTTTACGTTGCAATATTTGAAAGGAACATTGTATAAATTTGAGAGACGTCTTGTTTTGTAGCTAAAAGCGTGCCTTTTAAATTCCGTCACATGATTAACTCGGTTGACTCAATCGTGCTTGCGTCATAATCGAAATAGCAGCATCTCCAAAAAAAATAAATTTTAGTTTTCAGCTTACTGCATCTTAGTTGTAGTGTAAATACGATTGAGTAAACCGACTTGATCCCAGGATGGTGTGCACACTTTCAGCTACAAAACAAAACGTCTCTCAAATTTCCATAATGTTCCTTTCAAATATTGTAACATAAATAAAAAGAGTACCGGTAGCACAGTTACGCGAGTAGAGTATATTTTTATAGCGATTCAACCGTAGAGTAAATTTCGATATTTGACTGAGAGTTTCAACTCGCAGACAACTCGATTTCAACGTGATGAAATAAAGAAAAATGTTCTGAATGCGGAGAAACTTACATTGGTAAAACGTGTCGTCATTTAAAAACACGTGTTGATGAACATCTGATAGCTCAAGAGAAAATTATCTTATCTCAGACAAAACTCATGCCAAAAAATATCTCGAAACAAGTAACAGTATCGAAAAGACCTGTTACGACCATCTCTAGACAAGGACGCGTAACACGATCACAAACTAACAAAATTCAGAGAACTGTTGTAAAAATGGATCAAGAAGATCTAGAAGATTCTTTTAGTACGCTGGCAAATGTCAATGCAGGTAACAGCGCTACAGAACCGCAGGCAAAATCAGCTATTGCGAAACACTATAAAAATACAGGATATGTAATGAAGAATTCGGATTTTCGAATTATACTCTCAGAACAACATAAATATCGATTACTAGTTAAAGAATCACTCTTAATTAGATCGGAAGTGCCAGTTCTAAATGGAACAGATCGATCAGTTCCTCTTTATGTTTTTCCAGACGGTGTAGAGAAAAAGAAAACAATTAGAGATGGAAGATTCATACCACCAGAAAAAGTCAGTTATAAAAGAATAAAAATAAAAAATACATACACATCACTGTATAGATAATGTGGTCATTGGTTTTTTATATATGCGCATATAAAAGTTAGTATCGACCTAGTCTTGAATTTTCTCGTTTTCGTTCTATTGTATTTCGTAGTAAGAATAGTTTTCATTATTTGTACAGTTATTCTGTTTATGTTTTTGAAAATGACCGGTTAAAGGTTGAAATATCAACAAATAAAGGTATTAAGTTCAAAACAGCTGCAATTATTATCACATTTTAGATAAAACAAAGATATTGAGAACAGAAAAAAAATTGTTGATTTATCATTTATTAAGAGTTGATTCGTCCGTTCTATATTCGAGTTGATATATCCGTTTTATACATCCGAATGTATCCGTTCCGTATATATTCTACAGATCGGCCGATAGAATGTATTTGATCAGGCCCGTATGGGTGGCTCCGAAAAATTTATGAGCTTTCTCCGAGCCAAAAGTCTTGAACCCAGTTATGGACCGAACCGATCTCTGGTTGGTACATTGTTCCATTTTCTTGCAGAGATATTCTTGCAAAATTCTTGTCTCCTGTTATTTCAGACAAGAATCTTACTAGGAAAAACACAAGATTCTAAATAATATATAGATATAGGAAAATATATTTTTTTGTTATATTATTATTTTTTCTGAAACTTACATGTGTGAAAGTGTGATAAAGAAAAGTTGACTTTCACATGACGCAGAACACAAACGGAGGTTTGGAAAAAAGTAAGCCTATTCAGAAGGATAAAATCGAAAAATAAGAATTTTTTTTTCCAAGAATAATAAATTGATAGATAGATACATTTCGTGTAAATTAGCTATTTAGCATTAAGGACTATTATGTTCCCACAACAGCAGTCACATCAACTTTTCGAAGGAAAACTCCTAGATGATGCAATTACCAGAATGCTATTACCTGTTTCATTCTTATATTTTTATTTTTGTTCTCTCCTGTTATTATATGACGAAAGAAAGTTATAATTAAGTATGGCTTTATTGAGGGTGATCTAGTACATGATAAGGGCCGTGTCTCTAACATGAGGAGTGAGTCATGGTGATTTCTTTTGCAATAACAACTTTCGTAATACTACAGTCTTATAAAAACAACGATTTTTATTTTTCTATTATTTCTCTTCAGACACAAAGACATGAATGAGCATTACGAAACAAGTAATCCTCATCCATATGAGAAAAGTTCATGGTTTTCGAAAATCCATCATAGGTAAGAGTACGTTAACGTCAATATAGGAAATTAAAGAATAACACCAATTTCGAAAGTCTTTTACTGAACATCGTGGATATATCGTAACATATCGGGGAAAAAACATCCGAAATATCGGAATATTATGTTGTATGACATATTGGATGAGATAACTCAATGAGCGATATTGGTAACAAATTACTGATACAGAAAAAATGAAGTTTTTATGTTTTAGTTGGTTAATCAATATATTCAAAATTCGACATAAACGTTCATTGGAATCAAGTGATTTGTATGATCTTTTGCCTGGGCTTGAAACTTCAACGTTGACTAATTTATTTGAAAAGTAAGACTATAATTGAATTTTTAAATAAAGAACAAGCTATTCTTATTTGGAGAAACAAGCGGACTTCTCAATCACCAAGTCAATTTGACTCTTTAAAACTAAATATTACACACGTTTGATTTTAATCTTTAGCACATGGAATGATGAAGTGCAACTATCTCGAACAAAAAATCGATCACCATCGTTGTTTTTTACTACTATTCGCATTTTTCAAAAATCATATCTTTTAAATGTTTTATCTCTCACAACATATGTATGTATATCTTATTTTGAAGGATTATGAGTTAATGATTATTATCATTTTGTAGGAGTGTTTTCGTATTAGTCAACCACTTATTCTAGCTTATATATTAAATTATTTTAAGCAATGTACGACAGTTTCACATTCCCAAGCATGGTTAACAGCAATACTCCTGTGCCTCATTTCATGGGTTTCAGTGACAGTGAGACATATATTTTTTTATCATAGTACTTTATTAGCACAGAAAATACGAATTTGCTACATGGGTTTAATATTTAGAAAAGTATATTTATTTCAGAGAAATAAATAAAATAAAATCTTAGTTCATTTTCCCATTATATTTAGATTCTACGTTTACACACATCATCATTTTCATCAATATCAAGTGGAAAACTGATCAATTTAATAACAAATGATGTAACAAAAATTGAACAGTTTTGTTTTCGTAGTTACTTTTTATTCTGCGGGCCTATTGAAACTGTGTTTTCACTCTGGATATTATGGAGACGAATTGGAAATACTATTTTTGTAACAATGATATTTTTTCTGGTGTATATCATTGTTCAAATGCTTTTTGCCAAACTTATACAACAAATTTGGTGAGATGAACATGAAATATTTCTTTAATTGATATCAAATTTCTATAATAGTTAACAGTTATCTCAGAAACAAATTTTCTTCTTAACTGAAACTTTGAATTTTTTCACTTTACTGCACCGTGAACTGTTAGTTTATTGCAAGATTCTATCTGAATGAGTCGATCGGAGA